GCATAACCAAATATTCATAGTATCCATAGCACGTTCTGAAAGCAGTTTTCCATTCTTCTCCTTCCTTTACTCTAATCAGATTATAAGCTTCTTTTAGATTCAGAACTGTGAATCACTGTGCTTCTTGCAATCTGTTTCATAGTTCCTTGATGAATAGCAACGGATATCGGTTTTTGATTGTAATATTATTGAGTTGCCTGTAATCAATGCATAGCCTGAGCTTGCTGTTTTTTTTGGATACAAATAGGATGGAGTATCCTGCTGATGATTGCAATGATTGTATGTATCCTTTCTTAAGGTTCTCATTAAGGTACTCCCGAAGTGCCTCTAGCCATGCTTTGTCTAGTCTGTAGATAGGGAAAAATTTGAGCTGTTTCCCTTCTTGTAGCAGGATCTTGTGGTTGTATGGGCTGTATTCTGGTAATCCTGTTTCCAATTCTTCCTGGAATAGTTTCTTGAACTTGTGATATTCTTGTGGTATGTTTGCGAGGGTAGGTTCTGATCCTTGTACTGTTTCTGCTACCTGGAGGAACAGTAGGTACTGTTGAGCGTGCTTCTTTTCTGATGGCGTTTTCGAGGGCCTTGAGCATTCGCTCCGGGCCGGACCGAGCGCTCGAGGGCCTGGTTTCGAGGTTTTTCCCGTGTAGTTCCACAATCCACATTCTGAAGCTTTTCTTTATCGCTCCGGGGCGGACCGATTTGCTGAGAATCTCGCTTCTGTTGTTTTGCTAACCTGTTGGCGCCCTGGTACTGTTTGGGTTCGCTTATCACTAGGTCCTTCTCCTTGAACTGCTAGCCCTGCTGACTTGAAGGTATATGAGAAGTTGTATAAAGCTTCTTTTCCTGAGTATTCTTCAACCACTAGCTTCGATCCTGCATCATTGATTGTAACTATCTCTCTGGGTACAGCTTATTCCTATAAGATCTGGCCAGTAATCCAATCGATTCGAGGATTGTGCTCCTTGAGCCATGAAAGCCCTATAATCAGCTTATGCTATGCTGTATCCGTAATATCAAAAGAAGCCCTGATTGCGCATCCTTGGATTAAGATAGATAGATAATCAGTCTCCTTATCAATTACTTCTTAGTTGTATGCAACAGATTGTCCTTCTACAGTGCTGAGAGTATATGAGCATCTCTTCCATCTCTATTGTAATTATGCCTGATTAATAATATATGGGAATATAAAGTTTCCCTGAGCGCCACTATCTAATAGTGCGCTGTATTTGTATTCTTGAATGTATATATCAAACTTGATGTAAGCATAATCTATCCTAGAAGCTTTACATAAGAACCGTTCTAATCTGATCATCTGCAGTCCCTTTACAAGCAATCCTGTTCTTTTGAATTTGTTAAGAACTGCTTGTCCTTCTGAGCCTGCTTCGCTGCTTCTTAAGCAAGCTTCTTAGCTTGCTTTTGCCCGTATTGTTATTATTCCTAATCTTTCTTCTATTAATGCCAGTTGCAAACCTTATCATTAATATGAATTGTACAGAGTATCGTTTCACACTGCCACCATTTTATTTTCTTGTTTATGCATTGCATGAAGCAGTTATCTAGTAATCCGATATATGCATTATAGTGCTATCTATCGAGAATCTCCCTGAAGCGAAGTTCCTGTTCTTCAACAGCCTGAAGGATTTGTTCTGGTTCTCTAGCGGGGAATCATTCGTATTGCATCTTGTCTGAGAAATGCGTTCTGCAGCTATGATAGGTGCAGAAGATCCAAGCTAATTCGTAGTATAGATCATGAAGTGAGCTGATCCGAGAATCCTTATTCTCTTGCATCTTAATATTCTGTAAGGAAATGCAGATAAAGAGCTTCTCTAGTCCTATTCCATAGACGAGATATTCAATTCATATTGTTTCCTTATTCCATCCAATACCGAAGGGAAACCTTCCTGCAGATTTCTTAGGTTTATTGTTCATGGGAGACTCCGGTGAATTGTTAGATCATTCATTCTAGCTTGATTTTTCCGTTGCCTGAGAAGCGTTTTTGGTATCATTTAGATACTTATACTAATAATCAAGAGGATATCATTCTTTGTTCATTTCTCTGGTTATGATATCTAGTGCAGGTGATGGGGAATGGCGAAGGGTATCGTCGTTAAGCCCTTCCTCCAGCGCCTGGATGCTTTATTCAGTAACATCGGAGCAGTCCGAGTTGTTGCTGCTCGTAGTTGTGCTGAGCGTATATCCTCGCCCTGCTGTTGCTATCTGCCTGTAGCGCCTAGATTTCTGAGGGAACTATTCTGAATCTTTCTTATTCGAGAGGTGTGTTAAGCAGTTGTTGTTGTAGCAGAATATTCAGCTAAGACTTCCGTAATTAACAGAATCCGATACTTGCTCCGAGGAAGTGTTTTTGCTCAGTTGATTGGGTTCCTATCATCAAGCAACATTTATCTGGCGTTCTTTCTGAACTGGTTGCCATTTGTTCTTCCAGAGTTGATAGCAGTTGCATGCGATGTGTTCTTGTTTGTTGCAGTTGTAGCAAGTAATGCTATTCCTCTTGCTATACTGCTTATTAGCTACATTGAGTTCCATGGAATCAGCATGCATAGTGCTGCTCTGGGCTGTACTGCTATATCAACTGCTATTCTTATTTTGGAGTTTCTTACTCGTATTAGCTGGAAATCTCCAAGTCTGGCTTCCTTCCTTCTTGAACTTCTCCACCCATCATTCATACAGACGATTGTTGATATAGATAGCTTAATTGGAGAACGTCGCAAAGTTCTCTGGCTAATCCTGCTTGGAGATCTCATTCTTAATGTTGTCCTTGAGTCCCTTATAATAGTGCTCCATAAGATTCTTATCTTCCTACAGGAGTTTTGCTGAGAGCTGTTTGAATCTGATCATATAAGCAGAAACTGATTTGGTCTGCTTGAGATCCATGAGCTGCTGAGCTGTAGTGCATTCTTCATTGGGATTACCAAAGATTTCTTTGAAAGCCTTCTCAAAGCTCTTAAAGGAATTGAATATATTCTTGATATCCTGGATACATGCGCTGAGATTGTTCTGATACTCCAAGTGATTGCATAGAGAAAGCTTGTACTAAATAAGAGCATTCTTTTCGAGGCGAGTTCCTGCAAGAATGATCTTCTCAGATTCCATGGTGAACTGGATTGTATGATGCAAAAAGTATGCTCTGCAGTAGATAAGGAACCTATGTAGCATCTTCTGATTGCTGTTGTACATGGCGGGCTTGTCCATCTTGTATGCTTTTCCAGCACCACTGGTAGCTGCGGAGATGGACTGTGCCTGCTGAGCCTGTTGAGCTAGCTGAGCCTGCTGAGCCTGTTGGGCTAGCTGAGCCTGCTGAGCCTGTTGAGCTAGCTGGGCCTGCTGGTTGGCGATGGTAGCGCTCTGGGCCTGCTGTTGTTCGCGCAGATCCTGGATACGCTGGATAAGCTGGTACACCTGGTTAACCAGTTCTTCCTAAGTGGGAGCGCGCAAGAACGAAGGAATTCCTGGAGAAGCCATCGTATTCCGTATTGCTCAAGGGGTAACACTGAACCGTTCTTGAACAAGAGTTGTCAAAATGTAATAAGCACTGCAGCAATCCGAAGATTCCTAAGTACACAAAGGGGTTTATGCTAACAAGAGCGGTATCAAAGTATCAAGTTTTTGAATACGGAACCGTACAAATCCTAATAAGCAATGCAAGTATTCACTGCCTTTGGGGCTACTCAGTATATGAAACTGAATACTTAGATTGATAACTGAAGAGCTATGTACTGAATCTATCTAATGGTAATGAACGTGTTCTTATATATCCAGCTCTTTAGTATGGATATGTTGGATAGCAACATATCCAAGTTATCCTGCTAGCTCTGGATAGCACATATCCGAAGCTATCCTTCCTGATTGGCCGTGCTCATAACCCTAACCCTGGGTTATGTAATCAATGCTTTGTCAGGATGTTGAGTCCTTGACGCCTAGTCCCTGTTACCCGTGACCTGTTCTGTGACCTGCATGTTGGATGAGTCATAACAATAAGCTTAAATACATCTGCAGGAACCCTACAAAAAACCCACTTTTCTGGCATATCTGATCAGTTAGATGAGGGGTGTGTGAAAAATGAGGCATATTTAACTCTAATCCTCTGTTTTGATCTCCTCATAAACCATCTCAGAGCCTGGTTTAGTTACTTAGAAGATCTTTCTTTTGTATTAGATAGATTCAATCTCAATACTCATTCAGCCACTTCCACGTGCTCAGCTCATACATTTCTCCTTACTTAGATATGTTGCTATCCAACATATCCATACTGAAGAGCTGGATATATAAAGACACATTCATTACCATTAGATAGACCCAGTACATAGCTCTTCAGTTGTTAATCTAAGTATTCAGTCTTATACACTGAGTAGCCCCAAAGGCAGTAAACACTTGCATCGCTTATTAAGACTTGTACAGTTCCGTATTTAAGAACTTAATACTTCAACATCGCTCTTGTTAGCATAAACTCTTCGTATACTTAGAAATCTTCGGATTACTGCAGTACTCATTATATTTTAACAACTCTTGTTCAAGAATGATTCAGTATTATCCCTTGAGCAATATGGAATACGATAGCTCCTCCAGGAATCCCTTCATCCTCACGCGCCCCCACTCAGGAGGAACTGATTAACTAGGTGTACCAGCTTATCTAGCGTATCCAGAATCTGCGCGAGCAACAGCAGGCTTAGAGCGCTACCATCGCCAACCAACAAGCCCAGCTAGCCCAACAGGCTCAGCAGGCGCAGTTCATTTCTACGATCGGTAATGCTGGAAAAGCATACAAGATGAACAAGCTCGCCATATACAACAGCAATCAGAAGACGCTGCATGAATTCCTCACCCACTGCAGGGCATACTTTTTGCACTATGCAACTCAGTTCGCTATAGAATCTAAGAAAGTTATCCTTGCAAGAACTCATTTCGAAAAGAATGCTCTTATCTAATATAAGCCTTTTCTATATAACTACTTAAAGCATCAGAATAATCCCAATATATGTATCCAGAATATCAAGAATATATTCAATTCTTTTAAAAGCTTCGAGAAAGCTCTTAAGAAAACCTTTGATAATTTCAATAAAGAATGCATTACAGCTCAGCAGCTTATGAATCTCAAGCAAACCAAGTTAGCTTCTATTTATATAATTAGATTTAAGCAATTCTTAGCAAGACTTCTATAGGAAGATAAGAATCTTATAGAATACTACTATAAGGAACTTAAGAATGATATTAAGAATAAGATTTCCAAGCAGGATTAGCTAGAGAACTTTGCAATATTCTCCAACTAAGCAATCTGCATCAATAATTATTTGTATGAATGATAAGTAAAGAAGTTTAAGAAAGAAGAAAGCTAGATTTGGAAGTTTCCAGCTAATATAAATAAGAAACTTTAATACAAAAATAGCAGTTGATAGAGCAGTACAGCTTAGAGCAGCATTATGCATGCTAGTTCTATAAAACTCAATGCAGCTAATAAACAGTATAGCAAGAAGAATAGTATTACTTGCTATAATTGCAATAAACAGAGATATATAGCATGCAATTGCTATCAACCTTAAAAGAACAAATAGCAATTAATTTAGAAAGAATGCTAGATAAATATTGCTTAGCAATAGAAATTCAATTAACTAAGCAAAAACATTCTTTCGGAGTAAATATCGAACTCTGTTAATTATGAAAGTTTCAGCTGGATATTCTGCTATGATGATAACTGCTTAATACACCTTTTGAGCAAGAAAGGTTTAGAATAGTTCTCTCAGAAGCTTAGGCGCTGCAGATAGATAGCAATAGCAGAGCGAGCGTATACGCTCAATACAACTACAAGCAGCGGCAACTTGAACTGCTCCGATATCACTGAACAAAGCATTCAGGCGTTGAAAGAAGAACTTAGCAACAATATCCTTCACTATTCCTCATTACTCATGCTAAGCACTGTAACCAGAGATATGAATAAAGGATGATACCTTCTTAGCTATTAGTACGAACATCTGAATAATACTGAAATCGCTTCTTAAGCAACAGAAGAGCTAAGCTAGAACAAACAACTCAGCGATTCATCAGAATCTCCCGTATACAACGAACTCAGCAAGCTTAAGGGAAGATTCCTCTTTAGCATTGGATAGAACAAGGAGATAATATGGATTGAATATCTCGTTTATAGAATAGAGCTAGAGAAGCTCTTTACCTGCATCCTCTTACAAAATATCAAAGCATGATAAGACAAGGATCCTCGAATCAGCTCATTTCACAGCTTACACTACGAACTAGCGTGGATCTCCTGTACTTATTATAGCTGCAGAATGCACTTCTCGGAAAAGATATAATACAAATAGTTCTTCATCAGAAAACCAGAATAAATTCTTCAGGCTGTTGAAGAACAGGAATTCTGCTTCAGAAAAGTTCTCAATAGGCAGCACTATAATGTATATATCGGATTATCAAATGACTGCCTCATGCAATACGTAAACAAGAAAATAGAATGATAGCAGTACAAAACAATATTCTATACAATTCATATTAATAACAAGATTTGCAATTAGCATTAATAGAAGAAAGATTAGGAATAATAATGATATAAGCAAAAATAAGCTAAGAAGCTTGCTTAAGAAGCAGCGAAGCAGGCTCAGAAGAACAAGCAGTTCTCAACAAGCTCAAAAGAATAGAATTGCTTATAAAGGAACTGCAGACAATCAGACTGAAATAGTTTCTATATAAAGCTTTCAGAACGAACTACGCTTACATTAAGCTCAACATATACATTTAAGAATACAAGTACAGCATACTATTGAATAGTAGCGCTTAGGAAAACTTTATATCTTCATATATTATTAATCAAGCATAACTACAGTAGAAATGAAAGAAGCAATCATATACTCTCAGCATCATAAAAGAACAATCTGTTGCATACAACCAAGGAGTAATTAATAAGAAGACTAATCATCTATCTATCTTAATCCAAGAACGTATAACTAGAATTTTCTTTGATATCACGAATACAGCATAGCATGAGCTGATTATAGAACTTTTATAGCTCAAGGAGCACAATTCTCGAATCGATTGAATTATTGGCTAGATCTTATGAGAACAAGCTGTATCCAGAGAGATAGTTGCAATCAATGGCGCAGGATCAAAGTTAGTTATTGAAGAATACTCAGGAAAAGAAGCTTCATACAACTTCATATATACTTTCAAGTCAGCAGAGCTGGCAGTTCAAGGAGAAGGATCTAGTGACAGGCGAACCCAGACAATGCCAGAGCGCCAACAGGTTAGCAAAACAACGGAAGCGAAGCTCTTAGCAAGTCGGTCCGCCCCGGAGCGATAAGGAAAAGCTTCAGAAAGTGGATTGTGAGTCCACACAAGAAAAACCTCAAAACCAGGCCCTCGAGCGCTCGGTCCGGCTCGGAGCGAACGCTCAAGGCTCTCAAAAACGCCACCAAAAGCGTTACCAAAAACAACGAATGAAAAGAAGCACGCTCAACAGTACCTACTGTTCCTTCAGATAGCAGAAACAGCACATGAACCAGAATCAACACTCGCGAACATACTATAAGAATACTACAGATTTAAGAAACTATTCCAGAAAGAATTGGAAACAGAACTGCTAGAATACAGCTCATACAATCACAAGATCCTGCTACAAAAAGGGAAACAGCTCAAATTCTTCCTCATCTATGGACTAGATAAGGCACAGCTAGAAACACTCAGGGAGTACTTCAACGAGAATCTTAAGAAGAGATATATACAACTGTTGCAATTACCAGCAGAATATCTCATTCTGTTCATATTCAAAAAGAATAGCAAGCTCAGACTATACATTAATTATAAGCAACTCAATAATATTACAATTAAAAACTAATATTCATTATTATTTATTAAGAAATTACAAGATAGATTGCAAGGAGTATAATAGTTTATAGTTCTAAATCTAAAAGAAGCTTATAATCTGATCAGAATAAAGAAAGAAGAAGAATAGAAAACTGCTTTCAGAATACGCTATAGATACTACGAATATTTGATTATGCTTTTCGGTTTAATGAATACTCCAGCTTTATTCCAAGAAATGATCAACTATATTTTATACAAGCATCTGAATTAGTTCATTATTGCCTATCTCAATAATATTCTTATTTTCTCTCAAATACTGAAAGAATATAAGAAATATGTGAAAACAGTATTGCAAACGCTTCAGAATGCAAAACTCCTTATAGAATCTGCAAAGAGTTATTTTTATATATAGAAAGTTGATTATCTCGGATTCATAATCGAGCTAGAATGCATCAAGCTATAGAAAGATAAGATAAAAGCTATTAGGAACTGGCTGATTCCTAAGAATATTAGAGATATTAGATTCTTTCTCGGATATATTAACTTCTATAAGCAGTTTATCAAAAACTACAGTTGAATTGTATATTCTCTTACAAATCTTACTAAAAAGAATCAATCTTTTGAATAAATCTTCAAGATATAAGAAGCTTTCGATAAAATCATTAGGCATATCACTTTAGAGCTAATTCTGTATAAAGCAGATCTCTACAAACCTTTTGAAATTGAAACTAATGTATCGGAATATGTACTCGGGGAACAACTTGGTTAATGAAACAATTAAGAGCGTTTAAGAATTATAAGCAACTTCTCGAAGAAGTTGAATAGCTCAGAAGTTAACTACGGAATCCCTAATTAGGAACTTATAGCAATAATAAAAGCTTTCGAGAAATAGCAATACTATCTTATTAGCATATAATACTCGATTATAGTTCACTTGAATTACAAGAATCTGATTACATTTATAATAACTAAAGTCTTGAATAAGTAACAAGTTAGATGAGCAGAATTTCTTTTATAGTTTAACTTCAGAATTATATACTGCAAAAGCTCAGAAAACAGATAAGCAGATGCTCTTAGCAGAAGATCAGATTACCGAGATGCAGATTTCTCAAATATATAGAATATCTTTGCTCAAAACGAGTCAGAGAATCTCGTTAATGCATACAAAGAACTGAATGCTGCCTTCAGAATTGAATCTTTGGAAAAGAATTCAGAATTAATAACTTCAGATAAATAAGATAACTATATCAAGGATATACATAATGCATCAGCATATGAATATCAGAGAGTTAGAGCAATCTACGAATGCATTAAAAGATACTGGAATTCATCAGGCCTTAGAAAAAGAATTGAAAATATTCTATAACAATGTAATAGCTGCAAAAAGAATAAAGCAGAAAGATACAAGCCTTATGGATTACTGCACTCCTTATCAGTACTTATAACTGTTTAGCAATCTATTAGTCTAGACTTCATTATTAAGCTACTTCTCTTATAAGAACTCTTAACTAAAGTGCAATATAATAGCATTCTAGTAATAGTTTGCAAACTAAGCAAGTATGCTTATTTTCTTTCCTATAAGGAAAGCAGTATAGCAGAAGAACTCGCATATGCATTCCTTAGAATGATTATTACTAATTATAGCATATTAGAAGAAGTAATCTCTAATAGAAATAGAAAGTTTAACTCAAAGTTTTAAACTTCGCTTATGAAATAATTCAGAATATATTATAGAATGTTCATAGCATTTCATCTGCAAATAGATGAATAAATGAAGAGAATAAATCAGATTATCGAATAGTATCTTCAGCACTATATCAACCAGAAATAAAATAACTGAATTAATTTATTACTTCTCATACAGTTCGCTTATAATAGCGCAGATATAAGTATAATAAAGAAATCATTATTCTTCGCACTTTATAAATATAATCCAATAGCTTATTATGAAATACTGCTAGGAATAAATGCAGAAGCTACAGATAAAAGAGTTAAGAGGATTAAGAAAATTCAAGAGAAACTTCAATCAGAATTGCAATTCATTTAGGAATGAATAATATAGTATGCAAACTTCAAAAGGATTGGAGAACTAATCCTACAAAAGAGAGATAAGATCTACCTACTTCGAAAAAACATCAAAATAACCAGATCCAGCAATAAACTCAACTATAAGAAGTTAGGATTATTCAAAATCTTATAACAAATCTTTCTAGTTAACTATGAATTAGTATTATCTTATGGAATAAGAATATACTCAGTTTTTCACATCTTACTGCTGGAATTAGCAGCATAGGAAATATTAGCAGATAATACAGCAGAAGTGGAGAATAATGAATCAGAGTATGAGATAGAGAAA